GAGTCGTGTGGCCAGGCTTGGATTTTCAAGACCTCCCCTTGGCTGTGGTATTGAGGAGAGGCTGGAGGGGTAAGTTTGGAAGACCAGTGAGGAGGAGGCTGATGAAACCTCCAGATGAGACAAATTGAGGGAGTGGGCCAGGGTGGTGGAGTGGGGCTGGAGAGGAGGGGACAGACGTGAGGCACGGTAGAGAGGTGAGATGGTCAGAAATGGAGACCTAATCGGGGGAAACAGAGAGGAGCCCAGGAGGGGGCATGCTAAGATTCTGTCTTGGAAATGGGAACTGTAGGGAGCAGCCGGCAATTCGTGCCACAGTGAGAAGCCCTGCCCGTCGCTGAGTCCGGGTTAGAGACGAGGGTGGAAGAAGCACCGCAGTCCAGGGGGAGTCAGACATGGGGGGAGCCTTGCGCAGCCTCCATTTACCTGCCATCACAGTCACATGGAGTGGACGGGAGAGCGCGAGGAAGGAGAGAGAACAGGGAGGAGAGGTAGGTCACAGTCACATGGAGTGGACGGGAGAGCGCAAGGAAGGAGAGAGAGCAGGGAGGAGAGGCAGGCTCCTGCACACAGTGTGGACACAGCATAACACGCTAAGTGAGACGTTTCCGAGACGGACAGGGGTGCTGTTGGCAATTCCACCAGGACCGTCCTCACAGGCTTCCCTCCCAGACCACAGCCTCCTCCTCTGCCTGGGTAGATGCGTTGTGGTTCTTTTTCCTTCTCGGACTCCATGGAGGGAAGGGAGTCTCCCAATAACAACAAAAACATGGCAGCATTCCAGTACCAATTGAGGACATGCTACTGCCAGGCACTGCACTAAGACCCCTGCTTGTATTATTTCATTTAATCCCCACAACAACCCAATGAAGTAGGTACTGGTTTTATCCTGATGTTACAGATGAGGACACTGAAGCATGGAAAAGGCAAACCACTTGCCCAGGGTCGCACAGCTGGTGCACGGTGGAGCTGGGACAGGCATCCAGGTGGTCTGGCTGCAGAACCTGTGCCCTTAACCAGACTGCTCTGCCAGGGAGCTGGAGGCTACACCTGCTCCTGTCTGGGTCCCTGCCACGTCCAGATGGGCTTGTGAGTCTCAGGCTTGGCTGTAGCCCCAGCCCCACCCATGCCCCCTCCTCACGCCAGACCCACCTTCTCTTTCCTCTCACTGGCTGACCCTGAGGTCCGGAGGCATGAACACTTGCGACTTCCTGCCCAGACCCACCGACAGACCTGTCGAGGTGTGAGCCCACCTGCACCCGTCATCTCCAAGGACAGGAGTGCCCTCCTCCCCTGCCCACAGTTCATCCCTGGGCTCAAGTCCAGACCTCAGCTCCTCTCTGCTGCTCTGGGACATCGTGTCACCGACCACTCCCTGGTCCTATCACCCTCTCCCTCTTTGCTAGAGCATTTCCTCTCCCATCCTGAAGAAATCCCGTTTGTCTCACCTGGTTGTAGCTACTCTGCCATCACTTCCCCACCGGCCACAGCTAAACTTGTAAGCACAGCCTCCACTTGCTCTCGAAACTTCCTCACCCCCGCTCGTTCCTAGTACTGCTCCATTCTGGTGTCGCCCCCGTGACTCCTCTGAAACTCTCCTGTCAAGGACACCTATGCTCTCTCCTCATCGTGGCTTAGTCCTCGTCCTGCTCCGTGCATGAGGTGGCGCCCCGGCCACTCCCTCCTTCGTGAGACTTTCCATCTTGGATCTCCCAGGGGCCATCCTCTCCCACGCTCTTGCCTGTCCTCAGTTTCCCTCACAGGTTGCTCTTCCTCAGCACCCCTTTATTAGCCAGTGTCCCCACAGTCTGTCTGCGGGCTTTGCCTTCCCGTCCGCATGCTCCCTGGACGACCTCACCCGCTGCCGAGCTTCCGTTCCACCTGATGCTGGTGACCCGAGCTCTGCACCTGCTTGTCCGACTGCGTCTGCACAGTCAGGGCTCCCGGTCCCGCCTGAACAAGCCCAACACGGGACAGGCCCTCCTCCCTGCCCATCTCTAGGAAGGCACCTGCACTCATCCATTGTCCAGGCCAGAAACCGGGGAACCACCCCAGTCACGCCCCTCTCCCACACTCCATTTGATCTCACCAAAACCTGTGGACTCCCTCCCCACGACTTATGAAATCTGAGCTCTTTCCAGTTCCCTGCTTAGTTCGCGTCTTTAAATCTGCTCCCAGGCCCCCGCCTCTCTAACCCACACTGTGCGCTGTAGTCAGAGAGATCATTACTGAAGTCAGGTCTGCTTGTGTCCCCACTTAAAGTCCTTCACTGGCTCCTGCTGCCTACAGGACAAGATCAGACTCCGCTGTAGGACAGTTGGGGCCCTTCTTGCTCTGGCCTTTCTCCACCTCTCCAGTGGCTTCTCTTGCCCTGCAGCACAGAGCTCTTCCTCGCTGGCTCCGTCTCTTCATCTGTAACATGAACTAGTAACAATCCCTGCCTCCCAGGAGTGTTAGGGGATGAAAGGCTCTAATGGACGGCCAGCAGTGGCAGAGTTCCTGGCACGAGGTAAAATTCAAACAGTGCTAGGGTTTGACTCCAGCAGAGGTGGGGGAACCTTGTGGGCTTCACAGAGGAGGTGGCACTGGCGCCACCCCTGGCAGGATGGAGAGGACCCGGCCCCGCGGTGCTGCGGGGCAGGAGCAGTAGCAAGAGCAAAGGCATGTGGAGGTCCTGTGCTCACCCCTGGAGCAGCCCCGAGGGGCCGGCCCGGAGGTTGTGGGAGGGAGCAGTAGAGGACAAGACCAGGAAAGGCAAAGCTAGCCTGAGCTTGGACTTTGTTCTGCAGACGGGGAGCCATGGAAGGTGCTGAGCAGGAGTGAAGGCTTCAGCCACCATCATCTTGAGAACTCACCTCCCCTGAGATCCCACACCACAGCCAGACAGGTCTTTCAGAAGCCTCCATCCAAGCGTGTCGTTCCCCGCCCCCCGCCATGCATCCTTCACTGGCTCCCGCTGTTTCTGGGATAAAGACCAACCTCCTCCCGGTGCTGGTAGAGCCCGTGGCCAGCCCTGCCCACCTCTCTGGCCTCCTCGTCACTGCTGTATCCGCTCCAGCTGCGCTGGCCTCCGCCCGGTCCCTCCTGCTTCCCGCACTCAGCAGCTACTCTTTGAACATGTACATATCTGCCAGTGCACGTGGCACCAGGGCCTTTGCACGGGGTGTTCTCACTGCCTGGAACACTCTTCTTCCTTTTGAAAAAAAAATCAATTTAATTCTTTCTCATCCTTCGCATCTCAACTCAAACGTCCTTCCTCCAGGAAGTCTTCCCTGGCTCTCTCCTTTGATCAGCTCTCATCACACCATGTACCTCTCCTTTGTAATAACGCGACCCGCAGTTGTGATTTTGCCTGTACTTGTGTGATCGCAAAGGAGGCCAGCAGGGGACAGGTTCCACGAGCTTAGGAAGGGGGACCCTCCTGCACACTGCTGCATCTTGGGGCCCAGCACACTGCCTGGTGTAAATATCTGGGGTGTGCAATGGTGGCTGGGGAACAGAACGAGGAAGAACAGAGCTTGGAGCCGGGCACATCTTCAGGAGGCTGGTGCCATGGCTTGGGTGAAAAGTGGCACGGAAACTAGAGAGGAGAGTAGCGACAGAATTGACTAGGAGAGGAAACACCTTAGCAGGGTGGGATGGCACAAGAGCCGTGACCAGAGTGGGGAAACCAAGCTGTTGCCAATAACTGGAGCTTGGGCAAGTGGAAGGAGATGCACAAGGCAAGGGGCAGATGGAGTTTGATGTCACGCTGTCCTGGAAGGAGCTTGGAATGGAAGCCTGGAGTTGGGGTGGGGGTTGGTTAGAATTCTGAGAGCTGAAGAGGACAGGACCAGGGTGGTGGTGGTGGGGGCACCTGCATAAAGAGAACAGAGGGAGGAAGGGTCGCTTCTCTGACCTCAGCTTCTTCATCAGGGAAGTGGGGCAGTGCTGCCAAGCTCCTAGGATGGCTCTGAGGCTAAATGAGGTCATTTAGGTGCGGTGCTTTGCAAGCTGCCTGGCACAAAGCATAAATCATCATCATCAAGGTGCTTGACTACATTTCCATGCTGAATCAGGAGCCTCAAATAACCAGAAAATAACATAACTGAATGACAGGCCTGGGGTCCTGAAGGCTGTCACACTGTTAGTGGACTCCTGCCTGTGCCTGTTCCTAGGGAGGCTGGGCAAGTCCAGGAAGCCCAAGAGGAATAGAGGGAGTCCCAGAGCTGGAGGAGTCTGGAGGTCTTGGGGCCAGCCTGGCCAGCAGGGTGGTGCCTGGCATCGCGGGCAGGGTCACGGAGCCACCCTTGGAGATGCTTGGACCCACCTCCTACCAAGTCACCCCAGGAGGGATACATAAGACAGGGCCCCTGTGAAGCCACATGTGGCTCTAGCCCAGCCCCAGCCTCCCCGGGCAACCCCGAGACGCCTCACCTCTCTCGTGTGATCTGGGAAGCTGGCTTGTTTGATTGAGGATATGGTTCTTGGATGGAAAGTACAGGGAGTGAGGACAGGGCCTTTTTTTCTTTCACGACAAGAGGAGGGCTCACAGCGGAAAGCAGGCAGGCGCGTCAGGCTGTAGAGAAAGCCACAGGGGCTGCCTCTGGATCCCAGCGTGGCTGCAGAATTGAGCCTCAGGAGGGGCCTGGCCTGTCTGCTCCTGGCAGCTCAGTGTGGCCTGGACCTGGTCCACCCTCTCAGGCCTTCAGCTTCTACTGTACCACCTGCCACTACCCTTCTGCCCTGTCACCATCCTAAAAGGAAGAGCCCTGCATTGCTTTGGTTTTATTTCTAGCTGTCCCCAGCCAGTGAGGGACAGGCTTGGTTAGGGTCCCCACAAGAGGCCCAGGCCACTTCTCCAGGAAGAGCTGTCTCCCTCTCTGCTATAGGGGCTGCTGCAGTGTGGGCTGCAGTGGGGATGGAGTATATCTGGGGGCTCAGGCAAGGCCCCCCGCAGGGCTGCTGAGGCCTGCACGGCTGACAACCGCCTTCCTGAGGTCTCTGCTGTCCTCTCTCTGCAGTCTCGAAGCAGCGTGCAACAGGGGGACCTGGATGGGGCCCGGAGGCTGGGCCGCCTGGCCCGGCTGCTCAGCATCACCTTCATCGTCATGGGGACGGTCATCATCATCGTGGCTGTGACTGTCAACTTCACAGGTGAGGCCTGGCCATATGAAGCAGAGGGAGCCAGGGTGCTTGGTGTGAGGACTGCCCAAGGGTGTAGCTCAGCCCCCTGAGGCAGAGGTGGTGGGTGGGAGAAGGGGTAAGAGCCTGTGGGGGCCACAGCCTTGTCCTCTCACTCCAAAATAGTGACCCAGTCCCCAGCGGTGACAGCTGAATAGGGATCAGTTTTCTGACTTGTCTTATGCCTGTAGAGTGAAAATGCACAGGCCTAGGAGTTAGAGGCCACAAGCTCCAGTCTCAGCTCTGGTGGTCCTGGGACCTGGGACAGTGTCCTGTCTGGCTGAGCCTCAGGGTTTTCACATATAAAGTGGCAAGAAGAAGCCTCCAGCACAGGGGCTTTTGTAAGCATCGCCTAAGATAATGGACATGACTGAGCTCTGTAAACTGTGGGCTTGATACATAAGTGTCCCTGCTGGCTGTGTCAGAAGTCAACAATGTATATGGAGGAAGCCAGGAAGTGACACTTCTGTGAGCACCCAAAGGTGGCCCAGTGAAGTCATCCAAGCAGGGGAACCATCTTCAAAGGTGACTCTCAGCTGCTTACGAAGCCCATGCAGCTTTGGGAGTTTGGGGGCCGTCCAGGTCAGAGCTGTCCCCCCCACACTGGGAGGCCCCCAAGCATCTCTGCCCATGTCAGTGACCAACCTAAGCTTTTCCACCAAAGAACTTGCCACTCAATTTGCTCCATGGACCCGCAGCAGGGGATTACCTGGGACAGTGTCAGAAATGCAGGATCTCAGGCCCCACTCTAGGCCCACTGAATCAGAATCTGCATCTGAATGAGATCCTCAGCCCTGTCATTAGAGTTTGGGAGGCACTGGTCTAGAGGGTGTAGCACTCAACTTGGGCAGAAAGCCTGGGATTGAGCTGTGGGGCCATGGCCAACCTTGGCCACTTAGAACAGGGGAGTGTTCAGGTTCGTTACCAGCCTGCCTGGGTTCAGAATCCAGGCCCCCCACTTTCTGGTTCTGTAAACTGAAGCATGTTCCATAAGCTGTCTAAGCCTCGGTTTCCTCCATTAGCGGGCATCTGATTGACACGCAGGAACGTGAGAGGCAGGAGCCCACTGTCCAGGACATTAGCCTCAGTGTCATCTTATGATGCTCCTCCAGGCTCCTTCGTCCTGCTGCTGCTTGTCATTTTAGCCAGGACTCTTCCGATGGCAAAGGACAACTACTGAACTCAAACTGACAAAGGAAATTTGTTAGCTTTCACTGAAAAGTCCAAGCATAGATTGTTCACTAAAGAGTGGCTGTATCCAAGAGCTCAAACGATGTTGACAGGAATCTGTCTCACTCTTTTGTCCTGCTTTCCACTGTGTTGGCTTCATTCCAAGGCAGGGTCTCTCCTTCTGATGGCAAGATGACAACCAGACGCTCTAACAGTGGCCCTAATAGTGGCACACGTTTTAATCAGTCCAGTAACTAAACAGGGAAAAAAAGTGCCTCTCTGTCAACAGTTACAGCAAAAGTCCCAGGGCTGATTCTGATTGGTCCAGTTAGGGTCACATGGCCACCTCTGAACCAATCACTGAGTCCGCAGTCCTCTCAATGGCAGGAGCTTCACCAAGAGCCTCAAACCAGAGTTCCCCAGTCCTGTACCTTATCTCTGTTACCATGCCCCACTAGGAAACAAAAACCCAAATCCTCAAATCAAGGGCTTGAAGACCCCCCGTTCTGAGTTCTGATCTGTTGTAACTGTCCTTTTCTTTACAGTTCAGAAGAAATAAAACTAACCAGGGAACTGTGCTAGCAGAGGCAGGCCCTGGCCACCTGGACCCCTCTGAACCCACACATCCCACACACCACGGGGGGACAGGGTGGTGACTGCCAAGTGCCCACCTATCCCCAAGTCCAAAAGCACAAACCCAGAGGGAAATCCTTATGTCACCCCATTGTCAGTCCACATCAGATGGGACAATCTGGAGGAAGGAAGGAAGGAGTGAGATGAAATTTACTGTGAAACTGGTCAGTAATGTGGTTTAATCTCATGGACACGTGCTGGCATTTTGACCCCAGTGCTCTGGCTTGTTTCTCATCCCCACAATTTCCTGGGATCTACCGAGCAGCGTCAACTGCCAGATGAGAAGAAAGCCAGCCCCACGAACAAGACAAACTCTGACGGGGACAGAAGCAGCACAGTCCCTTCGTGTCTGGGCACCAGGAGAAAAGACGTGGGACTTTATCTTTTGCATTTTCCTTGAGGGGAGAAACCAGACTGCTTGCATGCTTTGTGCCACATGCCTGCTGTGATCCCAGCCTGGTGCCCGAGGTCAGGGGTGAAGCTGCCGCTCAGCAATGTCCTGGGGCCCCAGGGCACACGGGGTGTGCAGCTGCCCTG